CTGGATCAGCCCTACAGGGGCAAAGTCCTTCCAAATCTGCAGCTGGAGAGGAAATTCCCCAGAAAAAAAAAAGAATTTAATCATCTCTTGTGCTTTAAAAAAAAAAATCAATTAATCTCTTGTGCAATGCATTCCTATGAAGCCAATCACTAATTATCCATTTTGGTTTCCAAACAGGTGGATCTGGTGGGTGTGCAGAAGCTCCACAGCAACCTGGGCTTTGCTGCTTTCTTTGCTGGCATAGCAGCCATGGGAGGACCCCCTCTAGCAGGTGAGTGATGTTTTATAAAACCCACACCCATCCCAGAAATCCAGGGATAAACCATGCTGCTGCTTCACTCTCCTACAGGGATCCATCCCAGGATGGCTTTTCTGTTCAAACAGAGAGACAAAAAACAAAAATCCTATTTCAAAAATGCATTTTTATAGGCAGGCAACATTTTACTTGGGAATTTGCAAAATCCAACCAGCAGCTTGGAAAATGCTGCCTGGAACAGAGAGAGATAAAAAACCAAAAATCCTATTTCAAAAATGTATTTTTATAGACAAGCAACATTTTGCTTGGGAATTTGCAAAATCCAACCAGCAGCTTGGAAAATGCTGCCTGAAATATTTACAAAATGCTGCCTGGAATATTTGGAAAATGCTGCCTGGAATATTTGGAAAATGCTGCCTGGAATATTTACAAAATGCTGCCTGGAATATCTGGAAAATGCAGTGAAGCCCCATGTGCAGAGCTCAACCCTGAGCACAGCAGGGTAACAAGCACATTTCCATGGATTTTACTCCCAGTGGTGTTATTTTAACACTGAACTTGGACTGGAGGAACTGGAGGGGAAGCAAGGACAGACTGAGCAAGGTTCCCACCAGGCAGAGGCACTGACACACCAGGAGAAGCCTCGGTAATCTCTTGTTTTGACAGAGATTACACAGCTCAGCCACCACAGCTCTGGGCCCTGAGATAAGGAGCATGAAAAGCCTTTGCTCTTCTCCCTCTGCCAGGAAACCAAGGCAGCTGGGAGGATTTGGGAGATTTCAAGTGCTTGGAAATGAGTGTCCAGCATCTCTAAGGAGCAGGGGAATTGTTCTCATCCAAACAGCTTGGCCAGGACAAAGCTTTCCCTTCCCTGCAGCCCTGGGCAGCATTTGAGGGGGGATTCTGCCCCTCTGCCCTGCTC